TATATTGTTCCTATCTGGGACAGTGGTAGTATATTGCTGCTATCTGGGACAGTGGTGGTATGTTGCTGCTATCTGGGACAGTGGTGGTATATTGCTGCTATCTGGGACTGTGGTGGTATATTGCTCCTATCTGGGACAGTGGTGGTATATTGCTGCTATCTGGGACAGTGGTGGTATATTGCTCCTATTTGGGACAGTGGTGGTATATTGCTCCTAGCTGGGACAGTGGTGGTATATTGCCCCTAGCTGGGACAGTGGTGGTATATTGCTCCTATCTGGGACAGTGGTGGTATATTGCCCCTAGCTGGGACAGTGGTGGTATATTGCTGCTATCTGGGACAGTGGTGGTATATTGCTCCTATCTGTGACAGTGGTGGTATATTGCTCCTATATGGGACAGTGGTGGTATATTGCTCCCTTCTGGGACCGTGGCGATATATTGCTCCTATCTGGGACAGTGGTTGTATATTTTAGAGAAGCCAATATGTGGTAAGGCGGACATTTTTAGCTGATTACTAGAAACTTTCGTCAGCTTGGTGTCAGTCGGCAAGCAACAGACTGAAGAACATCTGTAGACACCTGTGCCTTGTGTCCTCCTCCTCCTCCTCCTCCTGCCGCTACAGGTTTTCCCAACAACCGTGTCACCGACACATGCCTGTCCGATGAATCACAAACACGATTTTACCGCTCACTCACGGCCACATCCCACCAGACAATCAATACCCAACAATGAAATGTCGTCCTTGGAGTGTCGCAGCTGCTGTGACAGATGTTGGACACCGAAACTTGGCCCGTTGAAGGCTTAGCGGTGTGAGCACGAACATAGATCAGAATGCTTTTTGTACACCGGATGTAGAAACCGTACTGAAACAGTTGAAAGCGAACAAGCAAGAGGCAAGCAGTCTTACAGTTGGGAGGCTAACAGTAGCCTGAGTGGATCAGGGACAGGGTGACGAAGATTCATTGCAGCCAGCCTTTATTGTGAAGACGGCACCTAATTGACTGAAACCAGACATGCAACTATTGTGTCACTGGTGCCCGAAAATATATATGGCGGGCAATCGGTGGCAGTGGGAGTCGCCGTGGCGTAGCGGCTAGAGGATCGCCTGCAGATCGGAAGGTCGTGGGTTCGCTTTCTGACCGAGCCAGACTTTTTTTTTAAATGACTGGCTCCCAGGTCGACCCAGCATTGAGTGGGTACCAGGTACAGTCCAAGGAAGTTAAGGCGGCCGGCGTGATGCTGACCACATCACCCATCTTGTGCGTTGGTTTATAAAACATAAGTCTAGCCCTATATGCCCAATATGCCTGAAAGGCGTGGAAAACGGTCCTTTGTTAATTGTTGGTAGTATCTGTCCAATCAGGTCAAAGATGGGAGCACAGAAAGGGCTGAACTGGATGTCAGGGTGAATACTCATTAGAAATATTACCACGCATACGTGAACCAGGTCAAGGTGACAGAGATACGGAGGCAGGGAGAGAGCTCGCCAAAGGTTCCCTGTACAAATATATCTGGGAGTGTGTGTTTATATTTATAATAGACATGGAGCTGGTGACCACCACAAACTAATGCCCCTCCCCCATCCTCCACCCAAATGAGCACAGGCTCTCAACCAAGTGTTTACATAGTCCCTGTGTTCTAGACCAGGAACATAATCGTGTTTACATAGTCCCCTTGTTCTAGACCAGGAACATAATCGTGTTTACATAGTCCCTGTGTTCTAGACTAGGAACATAATCGTGTTTACATAGTCCCCGTGTTCTACACCAGGAACATAATCCTGTTTGCATAGTCCCTGTGTTCTACACCAGGAACATAATCGTGTTTACATAGTCCCTGTGTTCTAGACCAGGAACATAATCGTGTTTACATAGTCCCTGTGTTCTAGACCAGGAACATAATCGTGTTTACATAGTCCTTGTGTTCTAGACCAGGAACATAATCGTGTTTGCATAGTCCTTGTGTTCTAGACCAGGAACATAATCGTGTTTACATAGTCCCTGTGTTCTAGACCAGGAACATAATCGTGTTTACATAGTCCCTGTGTTCTAGACCAGGAACATAATCGTGTTTACATAGTCCCTGTGTTCTAGACCAGGAACATAATCGTGTTTACATAGTCCCTGTGTTCTAGACCAGGAACATAATCGTGTTTACATAGTCCCTGTGTTCTAGACCAGGAACATAATCGTGTTTACATAGTCTCTGTGTTCTAGACCAGGAACATAATCGTGTTTACATAGTCCCTGTGTTCTAGACCAGGAACATAATCGTGTTTACATAGTCCCTGTGTTCTAGACCAGGAACATAATCGTGTTTACATAGTCCCTGTGTTCTAGACCAGGAACATAATCGTGTTTACATAGTCCCTGTGTTCTAGACCAGGAACATAATCGTGTTTACATAGTCCCTGTGTTTCTAGACCAGGAACATAATCGTGTTTACATAGTCCCTGTGTTCTAGACCAGGAACATAATCGTGTTTACATAGTCCCTGTGTTCTAGACCAGGAACATAATCGTGTTTACATAGTCCCTGTGTTCTAGACCAGGAACATAATCGTGTTTACATAGTCCCTGTGTTCTAGACCAGGAACATAATCGTGTTTACATAGTACCTGTGTTCTAGACCAGGAACATAATCGTGTTTACATAGTCCCTGTGTTTTAGACCAGGAACATAATCGTGTTTACATAGTCCCCGTGTTCTACACCAGGAACATAATCGTGTTTACATAGTCCCCGTGTTCTAGACCAGGAACATAATCGTGTTTACATAGTCCCCGTGTTCTACACCAGGAACATAATCGTGTTTACATAGTCCCCGTGTTCTAGACCAGGAACATAATCGTGTTTACATAGTCCCTGTGTTCTAGACCAGGGACATAATCGTGTTTACATAGTCCTTGTGTTCTAGACCAGGAACATAATCCTGTTTACATAGTCCCCGTGTTCTAGACCAGGAACATAATCGTGTTTACATAGTCCCCCGTGTTCTAGACCAGGAACATAATCGTGTTTACATAGTCCCCGTGTTCTAGACCAGGAACATAATCCTGTTTACATAGTCCCTGTGTTCTAGACCAGGAACATAATCGTGTTTACATAGTCCCTGTGTTCTAGACCAGGAACATAATCGTGTTTACATAGTCCCTGTGTTCTACACCAGGAACATAATCGTGTTTACATAGTCCTTGTGTTCTAGACTAGGAACATAATCGTGTTTACATAGTCCCCGTGTTCTAGACCAGGAACATAATCGTGTTTACATAGTCCCTGTGTTCTAGACCAGGAACATAATCGTGTTTACATAGTCCCTGCGTTCTAGACCAGGAACATAATCGTGTTTACATAGTCCTTGTGTTCTAGACCAGGAACATAATCGTGTTTACATAGTCCCTGTGTTCTAGACCAGGAACATAATCGTGTTTACATAGTCCCTGTGTTTTAGACCAGGAACATAATCGTGTTTACATAGTCCCCGTGTTCTACACCAGGAACATAATCGTGTTTACATAGTCCCCGTGTTCTAGACCAGGAACATAATCGTGTTTACATAGTCCCTGTGTTCTAGACCAGGGACATAATCGTGTTTACATAGTCCTTGTGTTCTAGACCAGGAACATAATCCTGTTTACATAGTCCCCGTGTTCTAGACCAGGAACATAATCGTGTTTACATAGTCCCCGTGTTCTAGACCAGGAACATAATCGTGTTTACATAGTCCCCGTGTTCTAGACCAGGAACATAATCCTGTTTACATAGTCCCTGTGTTCTAGACCAGGAACATAATCGTGTTTACATAGTCCCTGTGTTCTAGACCAGGAACATAATCGTGTTTACATAGTCCCTGTGTTCTACACCAGGAACATAATCGTGTTTACATAGTCCTTGTGTTCTAGACTAGGAACATAATCGTGTTTACATAGTCCCCGTGTTCTAGACCAGGAACATAATCGTGTTTACATAGTCCCTGTGTTCTAGACCAGGAACATAATCGTGTTTACATAGTCCCTGCGTTCTAGACCAGGAACATAATCGTGTTTACATAGTCCTTGTGTTCTAGACCAGGAACATAATCGTGTTTACATAGTCCCTGTGTTCTAGACCAGGAACATAATCGTGTTTACATAGTCCCTGTGTTCTAGACCAGGAACATAATCATGTTTACATAGTCCCTGTGTTCTAGACTAGGAACATAATCGTGTTTACATAGTCCCTGTGTTCTAGACCAGGAACATAATCGTGTTTACATAGTCCCTGTGTTCTAGACTAGGAACATAATCGTGTTTACATAGTCCCTGTGTTCTAGACCAGGAACATAATCGTGTTTACATAGTCCCTGTGTTCTAGACCAGGAACATAATCGTGTTTACATAGTCCCTGTGTTCTAGACCAGGAACATAATCGTGTTTACATAGTCCCTGTGTTCTAGACTAGGAACATAATCGTGTTTACATAGTCCCTGTGTTCTAGACTAGGAACATAATCGTGTTTACATAGTCCCTGTGTTCTAGACCAGGGACATAATCGTGTTTACATAGTCCCTGTGTTCTAGACTAGGAACATAATCGTGTTTACATAGTCCCTGTGTTCTAGACCAGGAACATAATCGTGTTTACATAGTCCCTGTGTTCTAGACCATGAACATAATCCTGTTTACATAGTCCCTGTGTTCTACACCAGGAACATAATCGTGTTTACATAGTCCCCGTGTTCTACACCAGGAACATAATCGTGTTTACATAGTCCCTGTGTTCTAGACCAGGAAAATAATCGTGTTTACATAGTCCCCGTGTTCTAGACCAGGAACATAATCGTGTTTACATAGTCCTTGTGTTCTAGACCAGGAACATAATCGTGTTTACATAGTCCCTGTGTTCTAGACCAGGAACATAATCGTGTTTACATAGTCCCTGTGTTCTAAAACATGACTATGTTCTTTGCACTGTCCTAGCTGTCCTAGACGTGAATCCTAAAACACAACATCCACGCTGCTGATATGGTTGTCTTCTGTATCACCAACGTTAAACTAGACAACAACATGAAATACGCTAAACTAGACAACAATATGAAATATGCTAAACTAGACAACAATATGAAATACGCTAAACTAGACAACAATATGAAATACGCTAAACTAGACAACAACATGAAATACGCTAAACTAGACAACAATAGGAAATATGCTAAACTAGACAACAATATGAAATACGCTAAACTAGACAACAATATGAAATACGCTAAACTAGACAACAACATGAAATACGCTAAGCTAGACAACAATATGAAGTATGATAAACTAGACAACAATATGAAATACGCTAAACTAGACAACAATATGAAATACGCTAAACTAGACAACAATATGAAATACCCTAAACTAGACAACAATATGAAATACGCTAAACTAGACAACAACATGAAATACCCTAAACTAGACAACAACATGAAATACGCTAAACTAGACAACAATATGAAATATGCTCAATGAACTAAACAGTAATTCCCCGAGAAAAGGAGATCTGATTGTCTAGCCGCTCCCCCACACGCCCACCCCAACCTGTTACCTCCATGGAGACAAAGAAACAGCCACAACTTAGTCACACTCTTGTTACAATGTCCCCGTTTGTGGTATTATTTTCTTATAATTACCCTGGGCTTGTTTGAACGCCCGCAGTTTCTGCCCGGAAAATTATGTTAGTCTGTCCAGATGTTGATATAGTCTGCCAGAAAAGGTCGTCTTACGGGGCGGCAAGCGCCAGCAACTCGGCGCCCGGTGACAGCAGCTCGGCGCCCCCTGACGGCAGCTCGGCGCCCAGTGACAGCTCGCAGACAATAAAGTTCCACACTGCATCCATAGTGGACGATGTCTTGTTGGCATGACCGGAAACAGCGCCGTCGAGTCAGACAGTTATCGTCTCCCAGAGAGAAAACAGCGGGACCCGGAGACAATGTATCGTTAAAGAACACGGGTATAAGCTGGCTATCACTGGCCTGGGGATAGGACCGTGGGGTCGCTGGTTGACAGATCATTTGCCGTGAGCTAGCGGAGCTGCTGTATGCAGTCTATGGTCTGGTCAGTCGGTGGTAGGACGATGGAGCTGCGGCACTTCAGTGAACATGTTACATAACCTGAACAAGTCTGTTGTGAGCTTTGACAGTCATGGGCCAAGGTGCAATGCTCCTGTCGGCTCTACAACCTCACGTGGCGGGCCTTTAGTCATTCAAGATTGGAAATGTTGATTCAATACGACCAGCCGTTGACGTGTGTCAGTGCTCGAATCGAAGAGCTTTAGTTTGACCTACAAAAATAGGGGCGCTGAAACCTGGGGGGGATGGGGTTTAGGCATTCTGAGTACCCCCCCCCCCTGCCCCGCCTGCTTTTTCTTAAAAATGTGTTTAACGTAGAAGTGGCCACATTTGTAAAAACAAAAACAAAAAACAAACAAAAAATTGATGAGATGCCAAAAAAAAAAAAACCATCTATAGAAAATCTGTCTCCGTTTTTAAGTTTTTGTGTATCCTTATTGTGTTTTGTTTTCAACATGTTATTATGTTTATTTGACATTCAGCACAGTTTGGACATTATTATTATTATATTATAAATAATATTATCATCCTTAGTATTAAACATTTAAACAAGGCGTAGGCCCGGAACACTTGATTAGAGGCTGAGAGCCTGCAGACTAAAATATATTTTCATCGTCGCCCCGGCTGATATAATTCTTCCTGTCTCTCTTCCCTTCTGTCTTTTTTTTTCTTTATTCCTTCCCTTGTTTCTTTCTTTCTTTCTTTCTTTCTTTCTTTCTTTCTTTCATTTATATCTTGTAGTTCGGTGCTAGGTGTCAAGGACAGAAATTATTCTCACTCTGAAACTTGCCAAACTTTTGATTAAAACGACAACGCCCTGAATGCCAGTGCATCAGATTTGAACAGAACATTGTCTGCAATTCATTTATTTGAGACTGTCTCACCACCACCTCCTCCACCACCACCTCCTCCACCACCACCTCCTCCACCACCTCCTCCACCACCACCTCCTCTACCACAATCTCAACCTCTTTCATTACCACCACCACCTCCTCCTCCACCATCACCACCCGCTACTCCACCACCACCACCACAACCGGCACATCGATCATCAAGTGCGTGGCCCACTGCCTTTGGCGGTCATTCTTCACACACATATGCATGCGAATGAAACAGATCTCAGAGTGAGCGCTTGAAACCATGGTAACACTGTTGCATTCTACAGTACAGTGTTTACTGTGAAGGTCTGACGGCTCCGCGGTGAAGTGGTTGAGCCGATTGCCCATCACTGTGGAGGTTTTGGGTTCAGTCTAGTTCGGGTCAGCGAGAGTAGCTGTTTCAGAGGTTCCAGAGGGACGTCGATAAAACAACGGAGCTGGTGCTTTGTGTGACGCTCTTGGCGGGAGATAACAGCTTTCGAAACGAGACCCAGACAAATAAAAAAAAAAATAAAAAAACCACTGGTGCAGTGAAATTAATCATGTTGCTTTTAAAGACAGACACCCCAAAATATGTGGCAAAGTCATTTGAAATAATAAGCCGTGTAGAAATATAACAGCCAGACTGTCTGCATGGTGGTCAGACTTTTCGTGTTTGTCTGTCTGTTTAGTCTTGTACATTTTTTGGGTCTGTAATTTGGTTCTGTCGGCTCTGTGGCTAAGTCGATGCGAACGCTTCGTAATGCCGGGATGCCGGGTTTGATCCCAGCTGCGGGCCATGCGCCTTGCGTTGGTTTCGACAGTGGTATCAAGAAAGCCGACCGTCCAGGGGCAATGGCAAACTACTGGACGTTACTTTGTCTAGAAAACCCACACAACAGCCAAGCTGGGGTTGGTTCTGCAACGTCATGTAAAGGATACGTAACTAACCTAACTTTGGTAATACTTCTGATGTGTTTATCTGTTTGTTTAGTCATGTACACAGTCATTTTGTCTATAGTGTAGCAGACTTCTCGAGTGTCTGTTTGTTTAGTCGTGTACACAGTCAGTTTGTCTATAGTGTAGTAGACGTCTCCAGTGTCTGTTTGTTTAGTCGTGTACACAGTCAGTTTGTCTATAGTGTAGTAGACTTCTTGAGTGTCTGTTTGTTTAGTCGTGTACACAGTCAGTTTGTCTATAGTGTAGTAGACTTCTTGAGTGTCTGTTTGTTAAGTCATGTACACAGTCATTTTGTCTATAGTGTAGTAGACTTCTTGAGTGTCTGGTTGTTTAGTCGTGTACACAGTCAGTTTGTCTATAGTATAGTAGACTTCATGAGTGTCTGTTTGTTTAGTCGTGTACACAGTCAGTTTGTCTATAGTGTAGTAGACTTCTCGAGTGTGTGTTTGTTTAGTCATGTACACACTCAGTTTGTCTATAGTGTAGTAGACTTTTCGAGTGTGTGTTTATTTAGTCGTGTACACAGTCAGTTTGTCTATAGTGTAGTAGACTTCTCTAGTGTCTGTTTGTTTAGTCGTGTACACAGTCAGTTTGTCTATAGTGTCGTAGACTTCTTGAGTGTCTGTTTGTTTAGTCATGTACACAGTCAGTTTGTCTATAGTGTAGTAGACTTCTCGAGTGTCTGTTTGTTTAGTCATGTATACAGTCAGTTTGTCTATAGTGTAGTAGACTTCTCGAGTGTCTGTTTGTTTAGTCATGTATACAGTCAGTTTGTCTATAGTGTAATAGACTTCTCGAGTGTCTGTTTGTTTAGTCATGTATACAGTCAGTTTGTCTATAGTGTAATAGACTTCTCGAGTGTCTGTTTGTTTAGTCATGTATACAGTCAGTTTGTCTATAGTGTAGTAGACTTCTTGAGTGTCTGTTTGTTTAGTCGTTTACACAGTCAGTTTATCTATAGTGTAGTAGACTTCTCGAGTGTGTGTTTGTTTAGTCGTTTACACAGTCAGTTTATCTATAGTGTAGTAGACTTCTCAAGTGTGTGTTTGTTTAGTCGTGTACACTGTCAGTTTGTCTATAGTGTAGTAGACTTCTCGAGTGTCTGTTTGTTTAGTCATGTACACACTCAGTTTGTCCATAGTGTAGTAGACTTCTCGAGTGTCTATCCGTTTAATTATATACCCAGTCTGTTGTCCGTATTTGTGCAGACTTGCCGTGTGTCTTGTCTTTTAGCCATGTACACAGTCAGTTTGTATAAAGTGTATCATACTTCTTGGGCTGTCTTTCTGTTTAGTCATGTACACAGTCTGTTGCCTGTGCTCTGGTAGCTCTCTCGTGTGTTTGTCTGTTTGTTTACACGCTAGACATAGGGATATGACAGTATCAGATGACAGTTGACTTGTGATGTAAACACGCGCGAATACTCACTGACCTTATCGGAGCTAGTGGCGTCTGTGTGGAGTCAAGGGCCGTGAATCTGTGATTGTCAAGACCGACAACTGGGTTCTCAAGAGATATCCGCACGTTCTTGCAGTTTATGCTCACTTAAATGCTTTGATATGTGCCGAAGATTGAATTCTTATGGTTGTGCTGTTGACATTGTGTTTGTTAGATCGGGGTGTGCTGTTGACATAGTGTTTGTTAGATCGGAGTGTGCTGTTGACATTGTGTTTGTTAGATCGGGGTGTGCTGTTGACATTGTGTTTGTTAGATCGGGGTGTGCTGTTGACATTGTGTTTGTTAGATCGGGGTGTGCTGTTGACATTGTGTTTGTTAGATCGGGGTGTGCTGTTGACATTGTGTTTGTTAGATCGGGGTGTGCTGTTGACATTGTGTTTGTTAGATCGGGGTGTGCTGTTGACATTGTGTTTGTTAGATCGGGGTGTGCTGTTGACATTGTGTTTGTTAGATCGGGGTGTGCTGTTGACATTCTGTTTGTTAGATCGGGGTGTGCTGTTGACATTGTGTTTGTTAGATCGGGGTGTGCTGTTGACATTGTGTTTGTTAGATCGGGGTGTGCCTGCAGAGTTCATTTCGTTTATCTTGCACCGGACTTTCTATTCTTCAGAATTCCAATACCCTGTGGTTTGTTGCTGCAGATACCACCTCTGTATATTTATCTCGGTGAATACACGCGAGTGCTCTAAATGCACGCATACTGGGATATACACGCGAGTGCTCTAAATGTACGCATACTGGGATATACACGCGAGTGCTCTAAATGTACACATACTGGGATATACACGCGAGTGCTCTAAATGTACACATACTGGGATATACACGCCAGTGCTCTAAATGTACACATACTGGGATATACACGCCAGTGCTCTAAATGTACACATACTGGGATATACACGCCAGTGCTCTAAATGCACGCATACTGGGATATACACGCGAGTGCTCTAAATGCACGCATACTGGGATATACACGCGTCTGCTCTAAACGTACACATACTGGGATATACACGCGTCTGCTCTAAACGTACACAAATGTTTTATAATTGTATACAAATAAGAATGTACATAAGTCAGTTCTAAAGGTGTGCAAATATGGAATCTAAACAAATTTGTTACAAACGTACGC